ATTTCCAGTCTCAGAAACTCACAGGGCCAGTTTTACTCTGTCCTATAGGGTCACTATGAGCCAGAATCAACTCGGTAACAGAGAGTTAGGTTGTGGTGTTTGGCTACCTTCTTCATGCATGATGCTCTGGATGTCATGCACAGTGGTCTTTCTTTCCTGTGTTGTTTAATGAATGAAGACTTGTTACTGATGTTCCATCCATGAATGCAAGTGGGTTGTACTTAAAAGTCATATTTCTTCAACCTAAAGTTCAACCTAAATTCAGCTCCATCCTGAACTTACGTATGAGCAATTGATGGTCTCCTCTACACTCAGCATCTGGCCTTGTTTGGGCCGATATTGTTCTTCTCCCTAATTTCTTCCCACAGATATAGTCAGTCTGATCCCCGTATATCCACCTGGTCATGTCCATGTGCATAGTCACCATTTACATTGTTGAACAAAAGTATTTGCAATGAGGAAGTTGTTGGTCTTGCAACATTCTATCTTGTAAATCTCCAGCTGTGTGTCTTTTACTAAAGCCATACTTTCCACCTACTAATCCTTCCTCTTTACATACAACTTTTACATTCCTGTCACCAGTAATCATCAATGCATCTTGATTGTCCATGTGATCAATTTAAGGCTGAAGAAGCTGGTGGAAGTCTTCAGTTTCTTCATCATTGGTTTTAGTGACTGATGCATAAATTTAAATAATAGTTGCATTTACTAGACTTTCTTGTAAACATGTAGATATTATCCTATTGTAGACAGCATTGTACTTCAAGATACTGGAATGCTCTTTGTGTAATACCATTTTTCTTGATTTTGCCATTACCAGTAGAGTAACTATTTGTCCACTCAAAATGGATACTATTAGTCCATTTCAACTCACTGATTCTGCTAAGATCTTCAGTCTGAAGTGGGTCAAGCATGCTGTCAAGGTGCACTGGCTATGACTGGTGATCGGAGTGCAAACGTTGGAAACCAAGGGAAGGGAACTGCAGCTGGAAAAGAGGGTCTTGTTGATTCGAAACAAAGCTGGAGCTTGACCTTGAACTAGCTAGAAATGAACAGAAATACAACCATCAGGAAAATACAACTTGTGGAAAACTAAATATACCAGGGAACTGGGTGTGTGTAAGCTTGGGTTGGAGGGAGTGGTAGTGATGGGGGACTCATTGTGACTCAACAACATGCTGTCTTATTTTCTTAATTATTGGGCACCTGCTGCGAAGTCACCCACAGGGGCATAACACGTGGGAACTGCTGGGAAACATTTCCAAAATACTGCACATTCGTCACACACTTTTTTAGAATGCCGTGTCCACTTGGGCCTGAAAAAGAAAAGGTCCCTAACTTGGCAACTAGATGCAGAGGAGCACTAGAAAATATGACCAGTTGAAAGAGGTGAATTATCAAGGGTTAATCACTTATGATCAAAGTCAGAGGAGGGTGATTGCATGTGTATTATTATGTAGAAGACCGTGTAATTATTTCTACTGTGAAGAGAATTAGGGAAAGGGACTTACATTACAGTAAAAGGAGATTTTGAAGAGCCATAGGGATCCTAGTGGCACAGTGGGTAAATGCTGGGCCACTTCACCAGAAGGCTGGCCCTGTGCCCCACCCGGTGGATCTGTGGCACAAAGACCTGGTATCTGCTGCCCTCAGGATGACAGCCTGGAAACCCTTTGGGGCACTTCTACTCGGTCATGTGGGCTCATTGCGAGTTGAAGACTGCTTGATAATATCCAACAGCAACAAGAACGAATTTCTTGACTTTAAGGATTGTTGGGCAGGGAAAGGCTTCGCAAATAGAAACGTGAACTTACATTCTTTCAGGAATTGGAGCAGTTTGGGTATTGCTTGCCAGTTTCAGCTAGTCACAGTGGGGACAAAGTTAGACTTTTTCGATATCATGTCCTGCTGCCCAGCTCCCTCTATGCTTGACTTGCTCCGAGTGTGAATCAATTCTCGTGCAGTTGAAGTTTGTCATAGTTACTATCAATGTCAAGGCATTTCATAGTTATTATCAATGTCAAGGCATTGCTTTACCTGATACCGTGATGCATTTCAAGCAAACAAAAGCTTAAACTACAAATTGAAAGTCACTCCCTTAACATGCAGATCAACTGGTTGCTCACTCTAGTTCGAGCCATGCCAATATGGTCAATTCCAACTTTCCTTTTCTTTCTTTTTTTCTGTAGAAAACTCACTACGTGTCCTCCTCCCTTGTTCCACAATGAGTGCCAAATCTACCATCAGCAAGGAGATTTTTGCACCGCTGGACGAAAGGATGCTGGGAGCTGTCCAAGTCAAGAGGAGGACGAAGAAAAAAATCCCTTTCCTAGCGACTGGGGGTCAAGGCGAATATCTAACGTATATCTGCCTGTCAGGTAATGAAAATCAAATGTTTATATATTTAAAAACAACTTCTATCGGAAAGCATTTAACTCTGAGAGTTCGTAGACCTGCACTCTTGAATTCTTGCCTGTCTGTTGTCTTCCTTAATCCTTTATGGACTTGTGACCCTTGATTAGAAAGGTAGGATTTTATGTTATTTTCTAATTCTTTAAGAGTTTTTACAAAAGGCTTGGCAGGTGCAGCTGGGGGATTATTTATTTGTTTGTTCATATTTTTCCTTCTCTTGAACATTGACAGAAAGTAGGCTATCCTTTGGAGTTTTAATGTTACAACAAATCTGGGTATTTGACTAAGCAGCCTGAGCTACATTGACTTTCTTTGCCTTATTGGTTTCCAGTAACCAGTGGTAGTTCTGTCTCGACATAAATATTGGCACCTGTGGAAAGTGAGAACATTGGTTCAACTCACAAATCACTGCTCTGCCTGAGAGCCACAGCCTGGTCAGGAAGAGGAATCCGTTGTACTGAGCTTCAAGTTTGGTCACATTATATATATTTTTTTCTTTTTCTATTTGTGATGCCTGGGGATCTGTGGGATTTACTGTGCACTGATACCAAGTTGTTGGTGATAAAATTCGGATACATTTTCTATGAAGTTATGGGTAACACTAATCTGAATACCGGGGGCATTTGTAATATTTATGATAACATTTCTTATAACAAGGCAACGGAGAAATCAAGCTCATTTAATGCACTTTCAATTGGGGCTTGAGAATAAAACTGTATTTTGAGCCCATGTTTAGCTTTTCAAAATTAAGGCTCCAGTTATTGTAGTCTGTTAGAATTTTGGGTTGGAGGTGCCCTTTTTCCCTACAGAAAGCACGTATCAAGATCATAATACCACTGTAGCTCAGCTGAAAATGAAATAAGAAAATAGTTCTTTGGTCAGGATGCCTTTCCCATGATTTAAAGAAAGCTGAAAATAAGAACGAGTGTGAAGAAATAACCCTGAATAACCCCGTTAGTCTCTCTTTCATATTCCCAAATAAGAATGACACCCAAGTCAAGTCCACTGCCTTTAGGCCCTTTCAGACTGACAACCATTCTATAGCATAGAGCAGACCTACCCATAGAGTTTCCAAGGCCATCAATCTTTGGGCCACAGACTACCACATCTTTTTCTTACAGAGCGAGTGGGTGGAGGGTGGGGGTCTTTGAACCTCTGACCATTGTTAGCAGTTGAGTGCTTAACCATGGTGGCAGCAGAACTCTTAAATAAGGACTATGTCAATAACATTTTGGTGTTGTTAGAAGGTATTTGTATTCCTTTAGTGCCCTGCGTGGCAGGTCATGGTGATCAGCTAATATCGACTGACCACGTGGAATAAAGAAGCAGCCCTTTGCAAAACCTTCCTAGGATTGTGTCACGAGACTCAAGCATTAACAATCTACCTATGTGCTCACATTTAGGTGGTAGAAGTTTGACTTGCATTAATAATGAATAAGATGCATTATGTGAATAAAATGCATTATAATACAATTTGTTTTGCGTTTGAGCTGAGCCAAGCATGGCGTGAGCTTGAATACTAGTGATTCTAATTTTATTAACTTCATTTCTCAGTGTTTCACTTAGAGTTCTTATTAGGTGGGTTAGTTGCAGGAAAGGTTCAGAAGCCACTGTATTTTACCTATGCATAAAGCTGAAAAATAGGGCTGAGGCTTTTTTATTGGGGGGAGGGGGCGTTATTTTTGCATTTTAGGTAGAAATTTCTATTACTGATCAGATAGCCTTTGAGAATACTAGGGAAACACTAACAACTTAATCTCACTGAAGCAGCCTAACATTGCTTCTGCCACAGACAATGGTCTGGTATGCACTGGGTGACCACGTTTCATGCACAAATCACCGAGACCTTTAGGATTACGGTCTGAAATAAGAGAAGTGCTTTTCTGTTGCACTCTAATGGGGGGGGAAACCTTTGTTCTGAAATTCTGCATCCTTTTTCTAGTTTTGAATCGTGTGAAGATGGGTTGATAAGGTAGATATGACCCAAGCAGACCAAACAGACAGACTATTGCCATCCAGGTAGGAGAGCGCAGAACTGCCCGTGTCTACAAGAGGAGAAAGAAAGCCGCCTCCTCCTCCTCCTGAGGACCGGCTGGTGGTGTCCCACTGCTGACCCCGCGGTTACAGCCCAGTGCTTAGCTATGACACCGCCAGAGCCCCTCCTTTAAGCAGGCAGCAGGATGCCAATGAGGACTGACCGAAGAAGGCTGGGCCACTGTAACAGCCAACCTTTTTCAGTGTGATTTCCCTTCCAACTGAGAGAAGCAGCCACCGTTGTCTTCTGTGAGACTCAGACGCAGATCAGTTACATCTCTGCAGTCTTCATCTCCCGGGGCCTTAAAGAGCAAGCATTTGTCGCAGCTCTGGGGCCAGAAGTCCAACTCCAACTGGACAGTGCTTTTGAAGGTTCTGAGAAAAGGACCCTTTCTGGTGCAGTGGTTCTCAACCTTCCTAATGCCCTGACCCCATGTGGTGGTGACCCTCCCAACCATAAAATGATTTCCATTGCTACTTCTTCACTGTCATTTTGCTACTGTTGTGAATCTGACGATCCCTGTGAAAGGGTCGTTCCACCCCCAAAAGGGGTCACGACCCACAGCTTGAGAACCGCTGTTCTAGTGGCTTCTGGCTTTCCTTAGTTTAGAGATGCATCTTTGTGTGGCATTCCTCCCACCCCACTTCAATCATTATATATATATATATGTGTGTGTGTATATATGTATACATATATGTGTGTATATAAGTATACACATATATATATTTGCTTATAAAATACCACTCACATGGGATTAAATTAGGATGTAGCCTGCACCTTTGTGGCCTCATGTTAACCGTAACATCTTAAAGGATACTATTTCCAAACAGGGTTAACAGAATTAGGACTTCCGCTTATTCTGGAGGACCCAATTCCATCCATAGCATGCCATAATTAGTTAAGCACAGCTTACATGCCCTTGACACGCTGGGTAAGAGAGAGCCTTGGGTGGAGCACGGTTTCCGCTCTCGGCTGCTCTGCAGACTTTAGTGGGTTACATCGACCGGGAAATGCGAAGAAACCCCTGCAGTCTCTGACCAATCAGCCGTCGGACCCCAGATCGACTCTGTCCATGAGGTCCCTGTGAGTTGGAATTGGCTATGCGACCGTTTTGTTTGTTTTTGATGCGTGGAGGATGCTGACGGCGTCGGCGTTAAGAAGTGGCTCCCTAAAAGAAAGAGAATCACAACTGGGAAGACATTCGTTCGGGAAGAAAGCAGGTCTGGAGGAAGAGCCGGGAACTGAGATCTAAAGGAGGGGTCAGGTGTAGGCGTAGAGAGCGTGGCAGGCACAGGGAGTCTCTGTTCGGATGGACCAGGCCGAGATGGACTTCGCGTGGTTTCTTTTCTCTTATTCGGTCCAAGGAGAACCTCCTTGTTGCCCAACTCCACGCGAAAGCAGAGCCCCAGGGGCAGTCCCGTTACTCACAGTGTGAACTTCCCGCTTTCCTGGAAACCGGGTTCCTGCTTGTGGTCTGGCTGATGAAAAAGTTATTCACGTCAGACAGGCAAACTAGCTCTGCATTAGGACGATGTCTCCTAATAATATTCAGTCACTGATCACCCAGCAGAAAGAGTTACACCCTTTTAAAAGAGGGAAAACCACCATGGCTTTATAAGTTGGCCCAGATAATGTCGTTAAGGCATGTCTTTGGCTAATGTTTCCTTTGACTCTCCCACTCCCACCCGGAACACCTGGATCCGCTAGAATGTCCGTGAGGTAGAGGCTTGTGATTAGACTTCTTTGCAGAATGAGTTGCATGAGGGGCTTCAAATGTTTGTGGAACTATTCCATTATCTTATGATTTCATTTAAAATGAAATTTTTCAACCAATTTTCTTTAAAGGTCCCTCATATAGCTCCACAATTTTTTTTTAATTTAAGAAAGCCTCGCCAAGTCACTAGTGGGATAACCCTAAGAACTGCCTAATTGTGCGGCATCCGTCTGCCCTCCCAGGTGAGCGGAAGCTAGTCCTGTTCGTTATAGGTGTGAGAAGTTTCCCAGGTGCCTACTGGGTGGTTCAGAAGCAGCGGTCTTGTGTCCTGCCAACCTGCGCTTCCTTCTGGGACCCTGTGTGCAACAGAACTGGCCCTTCGTGGTCCACAGGGTTTTCAGAAGTAGATCATAATACCTTGCTTCCTAGTCTGTCTGAGTCTGAAAGGTCTGCCAAAAAGTATACCAGAGAGTGACCAGCAGGCCTCCGTTAACAGACAGAGGGTGGTTGAATGGCTTCCTGCACACCCGATGGGAACTGTCGATTTCATTTATAACTCAGAACTCTGTTTGGTTTTTTTTAATAAATAATTTCATTGGAGCCTCTTACAGCTTTTATCACAATCCATACATCAATTATATCAAACACATTTGTACATATGTTGCCACCCCCCCACCTTCCCACCGACATGAATCCTTGATAACTTATAAATTACTATTATTATCATATCTTACACCCTTTATCCATGTTTCTATTGTTGTTCTTCTCAGGGGGCGGGGGTGTTTATATGTCAATCATTGTGATTGGTTCCCCGTTTCTGCCCCTTCTCTCCCCACCTTCCTTCCTACCCTCATGGTATTGCTACTCCCATTACTTTTCCTGAGGGGTTTATCTGTCCTGGATTCCGTGTGGTGACAGCTCTTATGTGTACCAGTGCACATGCTCCGGTCTAGCCGGATTTGTAAGGTAAAACTGGGCTCATGATAGTGGGGGATAGGGTGGGGGAAGGACACTTTAAAGAATTAGGTTACTAAAGGAATGTTGTGTGTTTCATCAGTGCCATACTGCACCCTGGCTGACTCATCCCTTCCTTGTGACCCTTCTGTGAGGGGATGTCCAGTTGCTTACAGATGGACTTTAGGTTTCTACTCCAACCTCCCTCATTCACATTGATAAGTTGGTTTGTTTTGAGTCTTTTATAACTGGGAAGGAACTCC